CCGACAATCCACGAAGGTTCGAGAAAGAAGTGGCGTGATACTAGTCAGGTGACGTCGCTGACGCAACAATATGTTGTGTCCTAGTCGGCCTAATAACCCTTGATATTGGGTGAAATATCTCGTTGGCATTGGACATGAAAGATGTAGTGTGGTTGACATATTATAACATATTTGTTCTTAAAAGGAACTGTATATACAAGCAGGTAAGATAATGTTAAACTACAACTGGCCGCCAATTTCCAAACTTTTTCATAGTATCTAGAAGGGTTCTGTCCCCCAGATCACATGACGTACACCTGCTGTTCAAGTTACATTTCACCATACTGAGTCAGAGTTTGTGCTTTAATACATAATATAATAGCTCACTATTTATGATTCTCCACCCCGTCTTTGTACAGGGTCAGATCAGGACATGTGTGTTTGTGATTTCTATTCCTCAATATAATGTTACGACAGCGGAAGTCACGTGACTCTAGTAACACGTCATGAGCTAAAAAATTCATGTCCCTTCGTGAAGCCTCGAGTGTTTACTAGATGTGCGGTACTCTTGTATATAAGACCGCCAAGAAGTGACGGCAACAATGTAATTGAATTGCAGACAGAGATAGAGACGACAATTGAGTCAAGCGCGTGAATCGTTCGTTCCTTGTGAATTATAGCGTTTGTTTAAATTATAGCGTGACTGTGGAAATTAAGTGAATTTCAAAATTGTATTGAGAAAGAATAAACTAGATTTATTTAAGACAGGACTTGTATCGCTAAAGTTTCTTCGGAAATAATTTTTACGGAAAATTAACAAACGATCAGAGATGTAACAACACACTGGTTATTTCTAAAGACGTGTTTCTTTAATGACCAAATATTCATGTGTAAATCAACTGTTTTTACTTAACAACTAGATTACTCTAGATCATTAAGCTAAGCAGTATTACAGTACATATATGTGTGATTCACATGACAGGGTTTCAATAGTGTAAGTTCACTGTACCCTACGTTTTTTTGAATTAATACATTTACCCACAGGGACACCTGCTGTTAGTGGCTTTGTAGTTAGTTCATGGTTGATGCATGATAATGAAGCCAAAAAGACAGATGTTGACTGTCACATACTTTCCCCCTCAGTGTAGTTGGTAGAACATGTTTTCTATTTAAGAACAATATCTTGATTACAATTGGATGCCTCTAACATCTCAAGTGCAGGAGAAATAAGCTTTTATGACCACTTTTAGTCTTTTTGTCTACATTGTCATGCCATTTGGACTATGCACTTTTACTGGGCTAATGGACACGATTCTAACAGGGACTGAGGAGTACATTAATGCATAGTTTGGAGACAGTGTAGTATTTAGAGAGCAACAATAGGATTATGTTCAACATTTACAATATATTTTTCAGGGTATATCAGATGCTCATTAAACCGTAAGACCATCAAAATGCCGGATAGCACAACCAAAGGTATTACTGCTTCTTCACAAAAACTAGCCATAATACAAAAATTTTTTAAACCTCCCAGCTGCGTTAAGTCAGGATGATAAGAATGGGTTGGTCCATCCTGTAATATACCACAGCTGAAACAGTTATTAACAACCGCTCGAGTCTTACAGAACCCTGATTTCACAAGAAAGTTCTCTGTCCAGACTGTGTTAATAACTGTTTCAGTTGTGGTATATTACAGGATGAACCAACCCATTCTTATCATACTAAACACAGGTGATCACTAGCATCAGTCTGGACAGAGAACTCTCTCGTGAAGTCAAGGTTCTGTAAGACTAGAGATGTTAATAACTGTTTCAGCTGTGGTATATTACAGGATGAACCAACCCATTCTTATCATACTAAACACAGGTGATCACTAGCATTCTCTAGTCTTACAGAACCTTGACTTCACGAGAGAGTTCTCTGTCCAGATAGATGCTGGTGATTGAGGGATATTAGCCATGTTAAGTCAGTACGAAAAGAATGGGTTGAATCATCCTGTTATATACCACAGTTAAAACTTATATCCTCTTCACTGTACCTATTTGGTTATTGAAAAAGCGTAGCCATTGTGTGGGCTGTCTCGAAACTGCATTGCTAGCTATGACATCTCATTCACAGAAGAAACTAATAGTCAATCTCCCTGCTGGTTATCGAAAATGCAAAGTAAAAATCCAATGATTTCTTTGATGGAGCCTTGCACTTGAACCCTATCAAACAACCATCAAACCAAGACGTGGAGCTGCTAATGGGAATGCTGATATATTATCACAGATGTATATTTGGAGGTCATTATGTAATACTTAATTATTTTCTGGTGCGATTTATGTTTTACTAGATTATGTAACTGTTCAACACGTAGAGAAGACATAAGGGGGATCAGAACCCATTTGAGTGTCTTTCAGCATCAATATGTTTTCTTCACTTTCTTTCTTCAGGAGCTTTATTTGACTGTGTCAATTGTTTTCCGTTAGCTTCAGTTATTCTAATTTTTGGTAAACTTTCTTGATTTTTGTCATGCCAGCCATTTACTTTTTTTTCTCTGGCTAAGTGACATTTTCTTTCTTGCACTGTTTCTGAACTATTTTTAGTTATATTCAGAATTTTATTATATAATTTATTTCATAGGTGGTGTTAAATTGAAATGAAAAGCTGAGGTGGTTTGAAGCTGTAAACATGCCATTTTTTAATTGAAAGGTTAGCCAATATCTCAAATCCCTGATTTAATCTATAATGGTATTGAAAGAGCTTTCTATAAATATGATCATTTATTAAAAAATTTACATAAAATTTTGCCTAAACTGGGATTTGAATGCGAGATTTTCATGAGAGTCAAACACTGTAGCCATTTTCACATCCAGTCTAAGAAATCCAACATTAATAACTATTAATTTAAAATATCCTGGTAATCATGATTTTACAAATATCGAACGAGCTTGCCCTAAACATGATCACTTATCAATGAAAAATATTATAAAAATCCCAACTGTACTGGTGGGATCTGAACGTGAGACTTCCACTTGAGGTTCAGGAACTCTAACCACTAAGTCAATTTGAGCGTTACCAACAGACAGTGACTTTTATTTATAGATGAATTTCTCTTCTATGGGAAAAATAATTAATAGATTGATTCAAGATTAATGCAATTTTTGTCTTATCTTCCTTTTGTTATACTTTACGACTGTATTGTAATTGTTGTAGCTCCAAGTAATTCAGTTTACTGATACTTGTGTTTTTGATCAATGAATAAATTTATTTACTTTTTCAAAATTATGGTATTTGATCCAGTCATTCTAAAATTAACCATGATTATGTGGTTGTATTAGAAACATAGGTTTTAGCCCATGCAGCATGATGGAGGTATGTGACAGTGGACATCTGTGATTGGTTAGTTCATGTCAATCTCATAGGCATTCACTGTCAAAATCACTAACAACCTAAAAGACTTAAGGCTACATTCTCACTATAAATTATGTGTGAAGAAAAATTCACACTTAATCCATCATTTTATCTCAAAACTGAAGTATACCTAGAAATGTCATTGACAGGCAACATTACAGAATATTCAGTTTTTTAAATGCTATTTTGTTCTATTAAAATGATGTTAGAAACCACAAATGATTTTGGGACTTGTTAATACTTTGTTTGTTTTTTTAATTTCACGCAAAGCTACACAAGGGCTATCTGCACTAGCAGTCCCTAATTTAGCAGTGTAAGACTAGAGGGAAGGCAGCTAGTCATCATCACCCACCGCCAACTCTTGGGCTACTCTTTTACCAACGAATAGTGGGATTGACCGTCACATTATAACACCCCAACGGCTGAAAGGGCGAGCATGTTTGGTGTGACGGGGATTCGAACCCGTGACCCGCAGACTGCGAGTCGAGCGCCCTAACCACCTGGCCATGCCGGGGGCCTAATATTTTGTTATGGAAACAAACAAATTAAGGGAACAGAGCACCAAGCAGTAAAGTTTGTTTAAACAGTACTTTCACTAGCACCTTGTTCTCAAAGATAAATAATTGTATTGTAAAAGTTTTAAGTTACAAATAAAAACGAATTTTAATCTCAGCTTTCTGTTAAGATACAAATCTAAAATGAAAACAGCATCACATATATATAAGATTCTTTTACTTAATACACTAGATAATAATGATGTTGAGTTCAATACTACATGTTTTATAAAAAAAGAAAATCCAAAACTTTTATAAATAATTGTTGGGTAAAGAATATGAGGTAACTACTTTAACAATCCCACATAAAAATAACACAAATTTCGTAATAAAACAAATATCTTTCGTGTTCTGTACATTTAGAATACGATAGGATTATAGTTTTATACATCCTACTGCTTAAAAAAGCTTCTTGCTACTATGTACAAATTATATTTGTATAAAGTAACAAATATTATAACAGCTTTAAAAATGCATCGTGTTCATCGTTATGTCAAATGTTCTGGTTATAATACACACCATTCAATTTAGCACCATCTATAATGTTAATATTACACTTTTCTCTTACCAGAGATTTCTTCCATCTGGTGAGTGTAAATCTTAATAAGGCTTAATTTTTATTTATTTTACTTCATTTATAACCATTGATTTGTTTGACAGCGAACATATAAAAAAATTAATTAAAGCTCAGCCTAGCTTTGAGAGGTTTAACAAAATGTCGGTGAATTTAGTACACATGTATGAAAAACACTACAGTCTACCTGAATATAAAATATCACTCAAAAGTCATTCTTCCCAACTAATTGCCAAGTTACCATCACTCCAGTGTCTGATATAAAAGCAGCTGCTGCCATTTCTTGCCTGCGATTATCTCCTCCAATCAGATCACAATCTGTAAGGTTGAAGCGAGTCACAGTACATGGTGTTTTTTCATCTCCTTGGAGTACTTTTCTAATTTCTCCCAAAAGAGCATTTCTCCACCGGCCTCTGATATTATCAATGATGGTATCAAGCCAATGATGTTCTTCTAAATACTGGGAACATTGCTGCATGATCCCTCTCCAGTGTAATTTAATTCGAAGTTGATCTAAGTCCAGTTGCCAAGTGTCTAGAGAGGGCCAACCTTCTGAAGCCATGCTCATTACAGCATGTCTAAAAGGCTGACAGTTCCACTGCTGTCGTTGAAGAGGCAGAAGGACTTCTAAGTTGACTCGGAGACTATAACATGCCTTTTGAATCATGTGTGCCATCTGGGGTAAAGTAATTTCGCCACTGAGACAAAGAGGAGAAAGGTAATCTGCCAAAACAATAGACACCAAAGTTGCTACTCCAGATGTGCCCGACATTTCAGATGTGTACCCCACCTCTGATGGGCATAAGAGTAAAGGACAAAGACTACCACGAGGTCCAGATGGAAATAAATCTTCATACCAACCATCTTTAGCCGATTCTATTCGCTTGATATAATAATTCATACTCAAGTTGGAAAATCTTCTTTTTCTAGACCTTAAATCTCGTTCCTTTGCCTGTCCTAGAGCAACCAGCTCTTTTATTGTACTGTTTTCTAGAACTAAATCTTCCTTAGCAAAGTTTATGGTAGGATTTATGCGACGATACAAACCAATATCAAAAAGCCACCTGCGGTATAGCACTGTAGGGTTGTGTCGCTCATCTCTATCAACATAGCTGTAACGAAGCATTCCTAACATACAGCGGAACTGCTTAGACTCTGTGCGAACCCACTCTTCTCCTGACCCCATATGACAATCACGAAGGGTTTTAGGGGATTTTGAGCAACAGATACGAAAAAGTTCAATAAGCCAGTCTCGAGGAAGAGTAATTTCTGGTATTTCTATCCACTGCCAGACGCCTTTACACCAAGAAAAGATAATTTTCAGCCACAGGCTTGGTGGTGACGAAACTTCATGTAGTCGCTTACACGTGGATCCAAAATTTAAAAGATCAAAGGGTGAAATAAGGAAACAACAAATATGGTATAAGACAGGTTCTGGGAGATTGACCAAATAGGAGGACTGCTGCATTCTGACAGTGGAAACGAGTCACGAGTAACTAAAACCACCATCAGGCTTATACATCCTATAAAAAAACATGAAAATGTATTAAAAAATAGTATGAAACAATACTCATTTTTCTAGTCATTCTTCAGATGTGAAATATGAATTTATTGATTACATTTTGAAATCATATTCTTATGTAATGTAGATTTCTACTAAGCACTTAAAATAATAGGTTTGCATGACATAAGAAATGAAATAAAAATTCAAATCGAAAACACTTTTGATAAATATAACTCAAAGACACATTCATGATCTCAAGGTAATGCACATTTCAAATAGGCAGTAACAAATCAATACAGTAAGAGCCTGAAGCCAGAACACCAAGCTAATGAAACAATGCTTTACCAACTATCATAATAAAGGCTGAAGAACCCAATCATTAAGGAAGATTTCTTATGCTTTGACTGGTAAATGTTTGTACAATTGAGTGAAGTTAGAGAAAAATATGCTTGTAAAATAGGTACCCCATTGGGTAATTAAATCTAATAGATTTGGGATGTAATTTCAGCTACAAGACCTAATATTATGCTACTCATTAAAAACAAGACTAAGCTGAAGGTATTAGGTGAGTTAGTGAGTTTATCAATGGTTCCAGTTTAAATCCTTGCTTCCTACTACTAGAAAACTTGAAGTTTTGATAACCTTAAAGATACTGTTATGTAAAATAACATTAATATACCAGAATAGTTTAATTCTAGAAGTATGAGTTGTTTAACTACCAACAAAGTTACGTACTAATTGATAGATACAAGGGT